TAAAGCTGAACAGAATAGTGTTATTGGTTGGGTGGAGGGCTCTTATATGCACAAAAAATGTGTGCACATGCTGAAAGCTAATTGAGGTTTGGATTGTGACCACAGAGAAAATCAAGGATGGGAAAACTTCAGTCCATCAGATGCTGATGAACTGCTGCTCCCATCATACTTTGACACTTGCTAGGCTGCCTAGAGCTGATGGGAAATGAAGTTCAGTAATATTTCCGGGGCTAAAGGTTTCTCAACTCTGGAACAGATTATTATCTTTACTAGGTCAAACTGGGAGAGATGCCAAAAAGAAACTAGCAATAGCTTGAAGCAAAATTACACTGGATTCAAACATTCACAGCTTTTTCACTTTTATCAGTTTATAGTCAATTAAATTAAATTATATTATCTCATCTCAGAGAGTACTGAATGAATGAATGAATGAATGAATGAATGAACAAATAAATAAATAAAAGTAAAACAAGTTTATTTGTATAGCTGTAGCCATTACAAAAGATACTTAAATAATGTAAAATAATCAAATACAGTGCTTTCTTAAATGTCAACCAAAAGCAAATTCTAATAAACAGTTCACTCAACTTTTTAAAAAAGTTTGCCATCACTACAAACTTCTTCCTTAAAACTGTTGCTCTAACATTTTTAAAGTTTTGATAGTTTCTAACAAATACTTTCTCATGCCTTTCACTGAAATTTATAAGGCTTGAAAAAATCTATAGTCTTAATGAAGATACTCCTGTATTTAAATCCTCCTTGAACTTAAGTTCACTCTTCATAATTTTAAGCAAATATGCATATAGTTTTTTCTTCACAACTGTAAGACTGTATTTGATAATTTTTGAATTTTATGTTTTATGTTTTTTCAGACGGAACCTAGAAATGATGTAAATAAATGGAACATGTATAGAATTAACAAGTTTTGAAAATACAGTGAGCCACCTTGGGTCCTCTTATTAAGAGAAAGTAGGCCTATAAATAAAACAAATTAGTTAATAAAATAAACAATAATAAAAGTATTATAGCGTAGAAATAGTGGTGCCTCGCATAGTGACGTTAATTGGTGCAGCAAAAATAGCTGCTAAGCAATTTTGTCGCTATGTGATTTAAAAAAGCCCATAGTGTTTTATGTTTTTTCAGACGGAACCTAGAAATGATGTAAATAAATGGAACATGTATAGAATTAACAAGTTTTGAAGTTGCCTGGAATTATTGCAATAGTGAAGATGCCCAGATGAGTTGCAAGACCTTAATACTGATTAGTGATTTCATTCTGGTATTAACCCTTTCCTGGAATAATGTCAGCTATGATGAATAGCAGGATCTCTTTGCCTAGGAGGTCTATATATCTTTGTGAGACTCCTGGGGGAGTCAATTATCCTAACCAGGTTCTGACAATCCCCCAGTACTAATTTAATCAGATATGCATCAGACCCTTTGAATACAAGACCTAACTCTTTGAACAGAGTTATTCTTAAATTTTGGTTTACTGTTTGTGTGTGTTTTGTGTTCTCCAGTTGGAACAGACTTACAGTGACCCTAACAAGTGAGATGTTTAAGGAGTGGCTTTATCAGTTCTTCTCCCCCAGTGAATTTCCTTGGCCAAGTGGGGATTCAAACCCTGGTTTTCATAGATAGAACTGTCTTACTATTATTTACCAAACAAATATCGTGTAGGTGACCAAGTTATAGTAATACATAAAAAATTGGGGCTAGCAACACTTACACCAACACATTTGATGTTATATTTGATTGATACATAGATGGTCAAGCCTCTACTCAGCCAACCATAATTTAACAACTTATGGACGGGTTTCAACTAATAGTTATGTTCCTCAAGGCTAGTTTCAAGCTGATTAGAATAAATTCAAGTTTCCTTTAGGCTGATGACAGTATATTTCTTTAGAAAGCGGATCACCTTCTTATCATGTATCATATTCAACAGCCCCACCACATTCCACTGAGAAATGTTTTTTTTATTCAAGCTGTGTTCTCTCCCATGTCTGAGTTTGTTACCCATTCTTTAACCACCCTATCAGCTTCATTTTCTTTCTCATTATATAATGAAGTACTTGTTCCATTTCTTGATCTTTCTGGAATATCAAATTTAGTTGGACTGAACACAATATAAAATTTATCCATCATATTCCTATTATTTAGATTAGCGTTATATGTTGGTACCTGATTCCTTCCCTAGCCATGTCTGAGTTTGTTACCCATTCTTTAACCACCCTATCAGC